GTTAGTCCAATATAGCTCACACAAGAGCAGTGTAATTGTTGTTTCCTCTTAATATAGTGTGTATAATATGTACAGGGAAAACATAGGGATTTTTTTTTTTCGAGGTTTGAGTGGTAAACCTGACTGAGTCATTGCAACTCACATCATGTTATCAATTTAAATAAAAAGTTTTTCTGTTTAGAAAAAATGGAAGTTGAATACAGTCAGACTTCGATATAAGGTCACCCTAAGGGGCAAAAGTGACCTTATAAGCGGGGCGACCTTTTAACCGATTCATTAGCAGTTCGTAACTAAGCACGTAAATAGTACACATTATGATTTTTTAAAAATGGTAATACAAGCGAAAGCGATCGGCCCTAAATTAAATATTTAAGTCAATAAATTTTAACAGAATTAGTAAAGAATTAAAGAAAGTTAGATTTTAAAAAAAAAATTTAATTTAACATAAAGCTGTTTAACAAATTTCCTCAAAGTGTACATACATACATTACATCTTACCTTATTTAAAATAATCATTTATGCAGGTCTGTCTCGTTTTTGGTTTCATTTTTCGAACAATGTTTTCTAGATTTTGTAACTTCTCAAAATGTTCCTCAGCTCCCTCATGGTTTGTAAAAAAAATTTCGTATGACATTTATTGCTTTGAAGGCTTCTACTTGGGTTACAGCTACAGTCTCAGGATCACTGTCATTGTCCTCACTGTCCATAACTTGTGAAACAATTTTAGAAATTGTAGCTTGTTCGTTGGCTGCAACATTTTCATAGAACTCAAGAGGGGTAATTGCGTTGTAAGGAAGTTAAATAGGCTTTTGTTAGAAAAGAGCTCCCCACGCCTCAGATAAAAGTGACCTTATAAGTGATAAAGAATTTTAAAACTTGACCATATATTCGATAATCTGCAACAAAGAATTCGTATTCAGTGAACCGGGAATTTGGAAAAGTGACCTTATATGGAGGTCTGACTGTACCTATGAAGTTAAAGTTAAATACCTATTAGAACTAACAAAATACAGCATGGAACCGATTATCCGGAACGGTCGGGACCATCGCTATTCTGGATAACTGATTTTTCCGGTTTTCTGAATCGCTACAAAAAGCCGTTTTTTTTTATTGTTAATCCCAACTAAAAAAAAATTTTTTTTGGAAATAATCTTAAAAAGAAGAAAAAACGATGGAGTAATACACTAATGATTATTTCCAAAATGATGGTAAGGTAAACATCTTTCNAAAAAAGAAAGAGTAATCGTAAAATCTTATGAGGAAAAAAATTTTTTTTTTTAAAAAAATGGCGAGAAAATTTATAGAATTTCGTTCCGGTTTTTTGGTTTTCCGGTTTTCTGATTTCCGGATAACGGGTTCTGTACTGTATTATATTTCTGACCAGTTTTACTTAAATTTGAATAATATAGTGTTAAAAATAGTATTTTTTTTTTTCATGTCAAAAACTAAACTAGTAAAACAAGGTATTTCGTTAAATAGATATTTCAAAATGTATTGTTCTCAAAGTTAAAAAAATATTTTCATTAAAATAACTAATTTTTTAAGTTTTTTAGAAATAATAATACTAGACATGTAGAAAATTAAAAACAAAACATTTTAGGCTTTTTCTTTTTAATTTTCCTATAATCGCTTACTTCTATTTCAGCAATCGTTCATTTACTGTACCTTCAACTAGTGGATTTGTTACTAACAACAGAAACCAGTCACAGTTAAGAGGTAAAAAAGTTTCCTGCTTGTTTTAAAATTTGATGTAAAATATATTTTCTTTTGTAAACACTGGTTTTTCTGGTAGGAAATTTTAAGTATGAAATTTGTTACAGTCTCTGTTAAAAAAAATCTCATAATTTGTTTTTTTTTTTAAAAATTAATACAGTGGAACCCCGATTTTACGTTGTCCGTTTCGTACGTTATCCCGCTTCTTACGTCATTTTCTGCTGATCCGTGAAAATTGCCTATACCGATAATGTTAAAAAATCCCGGATTTTGCGTTAACCCCTTTTATGAAAATCCCGCTTTATGCGTTTTTCTACAAACAGATCAGAATAATTTTTTTATTGTACAATTCTTACAAAAAAAAATCTCTAGTTTTTTGAACAAGAGAAACTTGTTTTTTAGCTGTATGGAGCAGTTCTTGCATTCTTTCTGTTGTCAATAGGGGGCTTTTTTAATTTGTCATTTGCTGAAATGCTTAAACTCCACAGCTTCAGTGCATCAAATGGCTGGATCGATCGATTAAAAAAAAAAGGAATAATTTATGCTTGAAATCTATCTGTGGCGAATCCGATAGTGTGCATATGACAACTGTGCAACAGTGGAATGAAGAATCTCTGCCAAATTTATTAAAGGGCTATAATCCAAGTGACATATTTAATGAGGACGAGACGGGATTGTTTTTCAACCTATTGCCTAACAAGACATAGGCAATTAAAGGTGAAAATTGCCATGGAAGAAAGCTTTCAAAAATGGGCTTGACTGTTTTGCTCTGTGCAAATGCGGATGGAAGCCGAAAGTTAACGCCTCTTGTGATCGGTAGAGCACAGAAACCACGGTGTTTCAAAAATATCAAGAGTTTTCCTACCGATTACGCTTCAAACAAAAAAGCATGGATGACGCAAGCATTATTTGAAAATTTTCTTCGAAAACTGGATAAGAAAATTAGTTTTCAAGAGCGCAACAGAATTTTATTCCTAGACCCTAGACCAATGCAGTGCTCATTTAAACCTTAAATTGAAAAACGGTGTGAATAGAGTTTTTTCCAGCTAACTGTACAAGCAAACTTCAACCACTGGATTTAGGAACTATCCGATCATTTAAAGAGAGTTACCGGAAGCAACTGATTGGAAAATCTCTAACTTTTCTTGATTCTAGTGACTTTCAGGATGCTTCTGAGGCAAAAATTATTGATCTTGAGGCTCTTAATTTGATATCTTCAGCTTGGGATAGTGTCGACCAAAAGTGCATTATCAATGGATTCAATAAAGCAGGATTTTCAATATCGGAGGAGGAGGGCGCTGTAATTTTGGAGGAAGAAGAAGAAGGTAGCGTGTCTGAAGTTAAGGAACTTACGGAAGTCCATGATGCATACATCGACTGTGACACAGATCTCATTACTTCAGAAATCCCTTCCATAAGTGATTTAATGCCTGATTCCGACGATAGTACCAACAGCTGATTAAGCGATACAAAGCCTAAAAACTCTAACACAATTTTTACTTGCAAATGTAAATCAAGAAGCAAATTTGCAAAAAAATGTGTGCATTGAACGAGCTGTATATGAAATTGTAGCTAAAAACAAAGAGCAAGTAAAGATTACTCATTTTTTCCATTAATTTAACTGGTAGGTGTCAAATTTTAAAAACACGCATAGATTTTTCTTAACCCCGATTTTACGTTATTACGCTTCGAGCGTTTTTTATCGCTAGTCTGACCGAAAACGTCAAATCGGGGTTTCACTGTATAACAAAGACTTTAATAATGTTATTTTTCTTCTCGCTAGTTAATATTTAATATGATTATAATGCAGATGACAAATACACAAAAAATAAAATTAACATAAAGGGGTTCATACTTTGGACCACTCTCCTGACAAAAAATTATGGAGACCATATTTCCCAGATTTCGGCTACCTCTATATGTTAAGGTCCAAAAATAAATATGATATTCAGAGAAAGTACATTTTCGTATCTGATTTGGTAACTTAAAATATTGTCCACTCTAATAAATTGGCATATTTGTGGTCAACCCTCAAACAATTTAGGTCAAGTTCTAGAACGTGAAGCTCTAATCATAGGATGAAAAGTTAATCAGGGTGATCTGTTATTGTTTATTTGTTTGCTTATTTTTTTGCCACTCTACAATTCTATTTCAAGGAATGATGACTTAAAAATTTGATTTTTCTCAGTTTCTATGTGTAATTGTAAACAATTATAACAAAATACTTTAATTTTTTAAACTTCTCATTCCTATATTTCTCTAATATCTACTAACATTTACTTCTATAAATATTAGATTTTTTTTATAGGAATTATGTTTCATTTTAACATTTAAACAAGAAGTCGTGAGTGAAAAATAATGCAAAATCTGATGCAATTCTGTCACAAAATACATTTTTAATTGAAGAGTAGAATGAATAAGGTTTTACAGATTTAATTAATTTTTATGTATTATCTGGAAGATTATGAAAAATTTAGATCCATCGTAGCATACTTTATTTATTATTTAACACTGTATTTAATTCCTTGATATGAAACTCCCTTAAAATTGAAAAGAATAACATTTTTACTATGTGCAATAATGTGCCATTTTTTTAATATTCTTATACATTTAGTGTGATCTTGTTTTTCAAGTACAACTGTAGGTTTTTAAAAGTTAGGTGATAATCTAATAAAGTTGTTTAGAGCACATTCTTTTGAAACATTCCGAAAATTGGTACGCTACATTTAAAATTAATCAGTAATGTAAAAAGGATGTTTCGTATGAAATGAAATTGATTGATAAAAATTATGGGAATAATAAACATAAGTATTTTATCACATTTTACCTAAACATGCACGTTTAAAATATATCGGAATAAAAATTTTAAATTCCAAACAAGTTGAAAGTTGTGAAATGCTTTAAAACAAAAATAACTTAAAACAATACCAAAATCTTTCAGTAGTTACAGAAAATAACCAGGTCTTTAAAAATGAATACACATTATTACTATATAATAATTGTAATTAAAACAAATTATACCGTGCAATGAATTACACTAAATAACCAATAACCACATTTATAAACTATATTAATACTCGTCGATTACAACATCAAATTAGTTATGTGATGATCAAAATAATTTTAAAAAGTTCATTAAATGGTTTATAGGATAGCACTTAAACCAAAAAGTGATCAGTATAGAAATCTTTCATTGAATTATTTATAAAATATCTCTCAAATTATAAATTTTTATTAAATTAAAAATCGTGTTTTCTTTTAAAGAAATTTAAAACAAAATTCAGAAGTTTTGAAAAATTATTGAGGGGGCACATGTCCCCCTCCACTGACACTATGCGTGTGGTCTCTACTAAAGAAAGATTATTTTATGATTGAAATATAGCTGTACTAAAGATTAATATAAAATGAATGAATTAAATTTCAATGATTACTGTGTTTACTTTTTCTTTGTGCATAATTATAAAATTTTTCTACATCTATGTAATTGTCACCCATGTATTTTATTCTTAGCATTTTGTATGGCCGAGGATGAAGCAGAAATGTTGAGCCAGAGCAGTATATCTGAAATGCAAAGTGATACTCCTAATCAGAGACTCAAGGAAATTAATAGGCGCAACACTCTGTGCCTGCCTCACCTGAAGAGTCAATATCCTCTTGAATTGAATACAACACCTTCGCAGCACAAATATTTTCGACCACCGGCCACGCCATCATGTTCAAAAGAAAGTAGTCATTTGGCCAAAAAGGTAAAGTATGGCAATCTAAAGTATAAATATATCTAAATACCTCTTGCTTCAGAATTTGGTACACACCTTAAAAGTGCTTAATTTTGCATCAGTAAAATTAGGGTACTCTTAAAAATCCTTATTTTTTATCTTAATTTTTTTTTAATACTCTATTACAAGAAGCGTATTTCGAATTTGAGTGATAATTTTTCGTTGTGTTCCATTATCTTGAAAAAATAAACCAATTACCCGAGTTTTCCACAATTATCCAGAGCCGACCTCAGTGCATTAAGTTGTGAACAGTGAGGTAATAATAATGCTATAATTTTTCATAGATTATGATCAAAACTTCCCATCTTCTATCTTGATATTTATAAAAAATACCAGATAAACTGTTATCTGCACCCCATATAAAAATTCTAAAGAAAAATATGTTATCTAATTGAAGTGAATACGCATTGGAAAAGTATAAACATTAGTGCTTGCTTATGTTAGCAGATCAAGATGTTCAAAATATCCAGCATGCATGTGTTTGTCCTGGAATGAATGAGTTTATTTTTTAAATGCCAGATGCTCATGAAGCTTTGTTATATTTAATTTTACTTAACCTTTTATAGAGCTACTTTTTTCTAGCAATTTTTTGTTAAAATATTTTAAGAAAACGCATTGGAGAAGTATAAACAATAGTGTTTGCTTATGTTAGCAGATTAAGATGTTCAAAATATCCAGCATGCATGT